AACCTGGAGGAAGATGTCTGTGTAGATGGAGGTCAGGTCGAGAGAACACTGCAGTTCTTTTCAGTTCCCTGTGGGGCTGCCATTTAACATTAAGGCACACAATGGGGAGACCCTTGCTAAGACCATGAAGGAGGTGAAGTGTAGAGTTTTGAGGCTGGAGACCTGCATTTGAGTCCTGACCTTGGCATTTCCTTGCTGTGTGTCCTTGGGCATGTTACCTAACCTCTCTGATCCCCATTCTCTCACCCCGAAAGTGAGAGCCTACGCGCTTACTATGCCGCCTTGCTGGAGGGATTAAACAAGATCCCTCCCTTATGAGAAAGGGCTGGCATTTTCTGTGAGTGCCAGAAAGGAAATCCCGTGAATTTACAGCTACAAGATAACTTCATGTGGAACCCCAGGGAGGAACAGCTCAGAAAAGGGCAGTCCCCAGGGCTGGATGAATGACTGACCAGCCAAAATGCAGGTGAGGGCAACCAGTTCTGAGTGGGGGTTCTTCCCTCTTTAGCACTTTAGGCTGAACTCCTGCTCCTGTACCTTGAAGGGGGGCACGCGTGCAGCCAAACCAGAAGCCCCTTGGCTTCTGAAGTTCACGGCCTCACAGCAAAAGAACATGCATGGCGTTGGTTTCACACAGAAATAACGCTAATAGCCAGATTACCACCACTGATCACACTGACTGTGGTGAGGACCCGCGGTGCCAGGCACCTCGCATACATTCTCTCTACCCCATAGCACAGGGGAAACTGAGGCTGGGAGAAAGGCCCTTGCCCAAGGCCATGTGGCTAGAAGTGCTGGAGCTGTTACACGTCTGTCTCTTGGTTCCAAAGCCCGAGCTCTTCAACCCCTGAGGCCAGTCCGGCCCTGAAGCTGACACAGCCCCACAGGGTGGCCTGCGCCCAGGCGGCGCCCAGCAAAGGCCGGTGGGGGCCTTGCCAGAGCAGCAGCCTTATGTAAGCAGCCCGGCTGCAGCACGTGGAGGCTTCATTAAGCTGCGGGGAGCCGACAGCCCACTGGCGGTGGCGCTGGGGGTGGTATGGGGTGGGGTGGGCGCGGGGGTGTCCCCGGCCCTGCGCTGTGCCGCCAGCGAGGCCTGACACCGGGTTAAGCCGCCTTGGCGGCCCAGGGCTGCAGCTGGGAGCGCGCCTGGTTCCCATTCGGGCGCTGTGGTTTTGATTAGCTGTTCTGCGAGGCGGGCCTGGTGGTGAGTCCATGGGAGCTCCGCTGGAACAGCGGGTCCCCCCGCCCGCCGCCGCTGCGGCCCCCCCTCCTGGCAGCCCCAGACTCCAGATGTTCCGAGCTCTCGCTGGGAAGGCCTGCTGGCGCCACGGAGGGCAGAGGGCAGGGAAAGCACGCGAGCTGGAAGCCCAAGCACTCAGTCACCGCAGGCCTTGGCAGCCCGCCCGGCCCTCTGCTGGCACATTCCCCAGCTCTCCCCTGGCCATCTGTTCCCAAAACACCCTTTCAGAGCCTCATCATCACTCAGGATACAACCGCGCGAGCAGCTGGTTGGGAGGCAGCGGGGGAACCGTGCAAAAGGTCCTTTGTGAGAGAGGAAACTCGCTCATGAATAACAGGGCTGGACGCCGTAAAAGTTGGCGGCTGCAACTCTTGTTTCTCAGGCGCCGCTGTTTTCTCTGGACTTTTTATCTCTGGCTTTTATTTTGTTCCCCCTTGTTTTCTTTTAACGTTGTTTCTTCCTCTTCTCGCACCACTGTGACCCCCCCCCCCCCCCCCGAGGTGCCCGAAGGCCACCTAATTAGCTACCCTGGGTGCTGCTGAACTTTTTTTTCTTTACTTCTCAAAGCTGTTAAAATCGGGGATGGTTGGAAGTGACTTTTTTTCATAAAACCTCAGCTTGAGGGGACAGGAGAGAAGTGCCTGGGGGAGGACCCAGCCAGGGCAACAACATTTTTTTATCTGCCTGGAATGATCACCCTTCCTTTCTCATAAGTGTACCCCCAAATATTCTGGTAGCTGTCCCTCTGCCAAGTTGTCTGAATGTTTCAGAGGAGACCGCACACTGAGCACACAGATGTGAACGGTGTCCGTGTGGGTGGAGGGAGGGTGGGGGCAGAGACAGCAGGGAGACCCCCATCAGCTCATCAGAGAGAACACGGGGTGCGTTGGGAGAACGGCGGTATTAATACGCACCCCGGGTCCTGGGTCGCCCCGCTGAGTGCAGAATGACATGGGGCCTTTTTAAAGAACTGGCTGCCACCACCGCCAAGACTTCTGGGAGATGTTTGCCTGGGATCTGGGCACCTCCTGGGAGCTCACCGGTGGCCTGTTGGGGGCCCAGGGGGTGCTGCAGCCGTGCTGGCAGCTGGGAGGCCAGCGGTGGGGAGGGGCCAAGGCCTGGCCGCCTTCCTCGCCCCCTGGGTCCTGGAGGAGGAGCTGGGCGCCAGGCCTGGCTGCCAGGTGGAGGTGAGGAGGCAGCTCCCAGGTGTCAGATGGAGGTGATGTGATGGGGTGGTGGGGGGTCGGGGGCGGGCACACGTCAGGGCCAGGGGACTGGAGGTTTCCCCTTTACTTTCTCTAGTCCCTGTTCCCCTTTCACACTGCCTGCCTCCCCCCTACCCCCATGGTTGCATCAGACCCAGAAGCTCCGGCAGCCCCCCACCCCGGCAGTGGAAAATGCCTGTCATCCATGCTGCTGTGGGTGGCCACGTTTTCACAAGCAAAAATTCTGGGCTTTGCCGGGTATTTGTGCATTTCATTCATCTACACTTTACTCAGGCCCGGACTTCATTCTTCTTGCAATCCTCTCTGCTCTCCTCCGGTTTCAGTTGGAGAGATGGCAGCTCCAGCAGCACCAAATATTTATGTTTATCACAGTTTCAGGGCCATTCATCTGAAGGGCTCAGTGCAGGACGATGAGACCCCCACATCCCCCCTCCCCCGCCGCCCACTGTGGCCCCGCTGGGCAGGTGTCTGGGTCCGGACTCTGAAGCGAGTCTCAGCTGTGTGACTGGGGGGCCTTGCTCCAGGGTGTTATCTGGGAGGTGCCCACCCAGCCTCCCAGATCGCTAGAGGGATCCATGGCACAAAAGAATGTGAAACTGTTTTGTGAACGCCACCCTCCCTCCCGTGTCTCCTGCCTGTG